TCTTTCAAATTTATGTCTACTTTTTGGGATTTTTGCGTATTTGATGCCACAGATAGACACTAGAGTTGATTCTGCTGATAGATACGAGAGTGCTCACATACCTGACAACGAGACTATTAGTTTCCTAAACTAGATCCCAAGTAGACATAGTTGTTTATGCACGAAGATGGTGATAAGTACGGTTGACTAGTAAACAGAAAAACTAATTATGCACCAACATTTTAAACATGTCAAAGAACTTTAAAGGCTTTTTAAACAAACTCAAAAGTATCTGTTGGTCATTTCAATATTGCCAAAAAAATAAACAGAAACAGAACAAGTACTGCTTACTTTTGTAACATGCTACTTAAGAAAGCACTTCCAACTAAAAAATGAAGTAATAGGCTGTACACCAAATGCACATTGCATGCTCGTGTGTCCAATCAATATCTCATTCTGATTTTGGTGTCCCAGTGCCCATTAACACATCAGATGTTAGAAAAAGATTCGTACAAGAGCAGTGAAACATACTCTGATGACGGAAAATTCTGAAATATAACTCTAATGAGGTCAAGACCCTGCCTAACTCTGCGCAGATTACGTGAAAGGCTTCCTGGTGTTCTAACACTGTCATTTTTGACATCAAAATCAAGTATACTATTTAAAGTGGCATATCTCTTTGATGCTTCTGTAAGATCACGCACCTGAAAGAATCAATTACAGCATTAAATTAAGGGAAGCTTCTTAGATAGAAATCAAAAAGGGAGAAGTAACAAATATGGGACATAATAAATTAGAACATCATTATTTGGAGGTACATGCAAATAGAAACATAAAGTGATAATATGTGTCCTTAAAAAAGTACCTTCACCCCCATCCCTCCCCACTCTCAAACACCACCCCCAAAAAAAAAAGAAAAGGGAAGCAGTCGGCTCCTGTGGATGCTTGCAAACACATGAAAAGGAAAACAAAAAAGAATGAAGGCCATGACCCAGATCGGGAACAGATGTAATCTAGCATAATTTACACACAGCAGCAATTTTGATACTCACACCAGCATTTCTCTTGCTGTTCTACCAAGATAAAGAAAACAGGCCCCAATGAAGTGACACTTCTATTAAATGTTCCCAGTCAAAGAAATTAAAGTAGCAAACCACATTACTCCAAATGAACCTAGAGCTGGATCACTATTTGACTTCAAAATTTCTACACCATCCCACAATGATTAACTAATGGAGCAAATTATGCTTTTTCCCCATATCAAAAGTTTATTTATTTATTTTTGCTAGAAGACACTATTTTATTATAAGTAAAAAGATGTTGTACAGGGATGGACAAGTTGTCCAGCCAAAATACAAACCATCAAAAAGGCAATACATAAAGATAGGAAAACTAAAGATGACAAACTAATCAATCACAAGCCGCCTTCCAATTCGCCAAGATTCCAAAAAAGAGGTATACTTGCTAGCCCTTTCAAGTGAACAATGCCACTATTGACTTTCAAAATCCAAACGTGCCTTAAAGCTACTAAATCTTCCAGTTATTGTGGCACAATCGTACACTCAAAGCTGCAAAACTTGTAATGTTTCGGCATCAACTATTACAGTGAAAACTATTCACTTTAGCAGACCAAGTCTAGTGCATTCTTCATAACATACCCCCCACCCCCCCGCGGGGGGGGGACAAAACCCAAGTTGGTTACTTTTGGAATGGTTTAATTCCTTCAAGGCCTTGACTTGTTATCACTTGGTTTTAGAGTCTGGTTCTGGACTCTGATACTGCATTAAAATTACAATTTCTCATCCTCCCAATTTAATTTGCACAAATGGTACTAATTTTGAAGCTTTATGCGCATATTACAAGATTAACTTCAATGAAATGTTGTACTGGAATAATCTTTCAGCACAGACCCATAATGACATGATGGTGGCTCCTACTTTATCATTTTAATCCAGGGGCAGCTCAAAACATTTTGAGGCCTAAAGCGAAAATATCGAATGAAATTTTTTATTTTTAATATTAAAAATTAATTTATTTTTATTTATTATATATGTGTATGATAGAGGTAGAATCAGTGTTATCGATAGAGATGTTTTAACTTTTATTTTTGTTTTTTTACCAAAATAGAGTAAATGTGAGGTAAATATAACTTGATTTTGAAGTAAATTTTTTATACATTTAGTTTTTTTTTTTTTTTAACTTTTTTTTTTGATTTTATAATATTATAGTTTAAATCATGAGCCCAAATTATTGAAATTAAAAATTTTGATTGAACTTAAATTTTTTGACGCCTTTTTATAGGATTTAAAATTTTTGTAAAGTTAAATTTTTTGACATTGGTTAATTATATAACTCAAATTGTGGTGCCTAAAGCCGAAGCTTTTTCTACAATGAGGTTGGGCCGGCCCTATTTTAATCTACCCGATATCCCGTGTAAATTACACTATTATGGTTCTTTTCAACCTTTTATCTCTACAATTACTTGATGCAGAACTTGTAAACACAACAAAAAGGAAAACCACCATTTATAATCTAATGAGGGCACAAAGTACTGTTATGATTTCCCATTGATTAAGTATAAGATTAGATATGTGTACGCGAACTCTTTGACACCTTTCCCAAGCTGATTTTTAGGGACAATTCTACCCATGAATTCATAAAAATTGGTATCAAACCTAATCATCACGTCGAGTATGAAATTGAATGCATGGGCTACTGCTCTCTATAGTCGAGTCACGGAAGGGACAGCCAACAAGTTGGATTAAAATGACTTGGTATTATATATGACCATAATACTATCTACTTGAACACTAAGACGTGAGTGGAGTCACCAAAAGGGAAAAGTCTATCTCGACGAATATTGATAGGTGTGTGAAGTCGTCAAAGGAAAGGGCTACCGTTGGGTCAATGTAGAATGGAATCCCGTGGACTTCGGCGACAGAAATATGAAAGAATGTTACGATCTTCGGTTAAATATAAGACCTAATGTATGTATATGAAGACATCCTTCTCTTGCAACCGATTTTCAACAAGCAAGTTCTACCCACCATAACAGTTTCACACACACAGACACACGAGGGTACATTACATACATGTATATGATGAAGGAAGATGAATGATGGACATAAAGTAAATCCCAAATTACCTTAGAGACGTACTCCATCTCGGCGAATTTGAAGGCAATTCCTAGACAACCGAAGAGGATGGAGACAAGCGAACAAGCATCGCAAAAGGGCTTCAAACGAAGATCATCAAAAGACCCACTGGAACTTACTAAAGCCGACAGCTCCTCAAACGCCTCCGCAATGGCTGACAGAGGCGTTCCAGTGGCCGTATCTTCAAAAGCGTCTTCAAAATAAGCTTCTTCTTCGTCCATGATGGTGATGATGGTATATTTCTCGGTCATTCACAATCAACAACATGTTTTCATTTGAATATAATTAATACCCAGAAACAAGAACAAAGAAATTGGCATTTTGGGATAATGAACAACTAATTTGGAACAAGAGGGTGGATAGATGATGGGATGGAATGGGAACCCTCTCTTTTCTCTGTGTTCTTCTTCTCCTCAAAAAGGAATCAATGGGAGGCCATGACCTGTGGGCGATCTGCTAAGTTTGCGCACTGCCCTCAAAGCGCCAATTTGTAGTTAGTTTGTATCAAGGATATAGACAAGTTGATTATATCTATTTAGGCTTAATTTGTTGAAGCTAATTAAACGTATTATATCCCTGGTTCCGTTGTTGCTGATGTTAAACGTATTTTTCATATGTTTATTTTTTCTTTAGTGTCTACTGTTAGGCGAATAGAAAATTCTGATGCGCACGAGCTTACTAAGAAGGGTAGTAGGTACTATGAGGATATTGATTTATGAGAAGAAATAACACCTGAATTTCTTCTGTCCTACTTTTTTTAGACTTATTTTCTTAATATAAATTCTATTTTTTTTTTCAAAAAAAAAAAATTATTAGTAATTAAGTTAGCAACAAATTAAGTGCAAATTTATACTATATTATATATATAGCAAACAAATTAGGTGTGAGAGATCTTGTGAGACATTCTCTCCCTAATTTTTCAAATTCTTAAAGTTTTGATTTATTTTAATACATTCAATTTAATTACATTTCACCATGTGGCAAAATATCCCTCCACTGACTAATAACTCCTTATTTAAATTTTTTTTTTTAAAAATATTTTCTATCACCCCCAAAAATTTATAATTATTTGTTTAACTCCTTTACTCCTCGAATGGTAGGGGCCTTTTTTTTTTTTTTTTTTTTTTTTTGGGGGTAGAAAAGAGGCGAAGATAATGAACAAAGTAATGCAAGGTAATAAGATACAAATTTTATACATCGCACAAGTCGTGTCTCATAGCATTTCTTATACTGTTTGGGAGCCCATGGAGGCAAACATTATTTAGCCCCCCCTCTCCTTAAAAAAAATTTTACATGTACACCAGATTACAGGCAGTGGAAAAAACTTGAGAAGTAATTGAGTCTGAAAGTAATTGTTGGGCAAATATTTCATGGGTTGTGTACACTGGCAACTGTGGCATGAGATAGAAAGTGTTCCTTGAGAAGTTCTCTAATGTTTTTGTCATTCTGTCTCGTTCTTTCCACTTTCTAGAAATATTTTGAAATTTTTAGACGTTTTTAGCTCTACAATTTCAAAACCTCTTCATCCAACAGATAATGGGTGTGGTTGGGAGGCCAGGAAGGCTCACGTTCGTGAAGCTTTAACATTCTCAGTTAGCACTTTCCCCCCAAATATAAAAAAAAAAAAAGCATTCTCAGTTAGAGCCATTGCGTCAAAATAGAGAGACTACCAAGAGATCAAAATACACAATTTTAACTGACGACCAATATGCACAAAACATTAAAAATGTAGAACGAGAGAAGACGAGGTAAGCATCACCGAGTAGTTGGTCCTGTGAAAAAAAACTTGAATTTTTTTGTTCAATGTTTGGGTTCAAGTCTTCACAGTTATAACAACTAGATGAAATCAAACTTATTTTTTAACGCTCAAAGCATGTTGTGAGACCATAATTTCGGCCCCGACATAAGTGCGATAAAGTCTTCTGTAAATAATTGTGTGGTGCCGAGAGATAATATTTCCTGATCAACGTGTAAAGTGATCTATTTACATATCTATTTTGTGTACCAAAAAAACAAAAGAGAAGACTACGGTGGAGGGATGACAAACATAGCTGCATCATGGCATTAATGTCCTTTCCAGCGATTTTGACATCTTTTAATCCGAAACAAAGGTCAAGGAGATGAAGTACACATACTTAGAAGGGTAACCTAAAGAAAATAAAGAACAGACTAAGAGGAGAGAACAGAGTTTTTTTTTTTTTTCACTCTTTAATTTTTTGCTTTGCTTTATGGGGTTGGGGTGGGGTGTAGTAAGACACATCCACCTCAACTCAGACCATCAATCTTCAAACTCATGCATGTGATCTAACAGGTAGTTGGCAGCCAGCTCCTCATTCTTGTTGCAAGCAAAGAATACCTCTAGCACAATTGCTCGATCAAAACCCATTGCTTCGAGCTGAAAAACAGACCAAAAAAAAAAAGAAAATTGGGGATTTAGGAAAAATCACCACTAAGATGAATTTCGGGTTGATAGTAACATGTTTTTGTTACTATAGCATTAGAATTTGTATTTTAGCACGCTACAGGCAAACAAGCCAAAGAAAGCTACAGAATCAAATTCAAAACCCCAGAAAAATAACAGCAATTTTTCACTAGGCTACAAACCATCATCTGTATGCTTCTGAGAAATCTAGAGGGCAATCTTCTAAATCTGAAATACTGTATGAGCATAAATAAATAAAAAACTCTAGTAGTATTCAATTTTAACCAGTTAAATGTTTGATCCGACAACAAACCCCTTCCAGATCTTTGCAATGCAAGTAGTGATCATCCCCCTCCCAAATGAATGAAGCATGCAAATCAATTGCAGTCATGAAAACACTTATCAATACTATATATGATTGATCACCTAGGACAAATTCAATTCCAAACAATAGTAGTAGGAGGCAAAACTTACTCGTTCTATGGCTTCACGCTCTTCGGGTGTAACTGTTACAGCCTGCGGCATTGCATCAGCAAGCTCCCCCAGCATATTCCTGATATGATAGTTCAAATATATTAGCATAGTGGGCATGCATAATTAGTTCATTAGAATGCAACCAACAAAACATACTCTCCGCCTTCAACAGGTTCATTGATCAGCTGAAGGAAATCAGTCTGATGCTCTTGAATAAGCCTCATCAGGTGAGGATTTTGTTTCCCCAGCTCCTGAAGCATGGGCTGTCAACAAAACAAGAATGAAAAGGTCCTTGTGGCATGGATATACATGTTTAAAAAAACGGAAAAGAGGTGGATCAGAAAGTAGGAGTCAAAAACCTGCAAGATTTGTGGGTTGGCCTGCACCATAGCTCGAAAGGCTTGGAACTGAAATAGAGGAGCAGCCAATCAGAGAATGAGAGTCGACAGTTTTTACAATTTGCACACAAAATCAGAGAAAAGAGAGTAAAAAGGCATTTTTGTACCTGTTGACTATTGCGTAAAAAATCCAGTGTTCCTGCGCCAGCTGCATTTGAACCCATATTGGGAAGACCCTACGACAAGAAATGCAAGTCCATCGTTGAAAAGTTCCAAGAAAACTGACAAAATTACCACTAAAACACATACCTGGGGGAATAAATCTAATGGATTTGCATTTGGTCCACTTGAAGCAGTGGTTGCTGGTTGAGGAGGCTGAGCTGGAGAATTTGCAGCCTGCCCACTTGGCGGGGCCCGTGCCACAGGTGGAATCTCAGTTTGTTCAGGGACCCCCTGTTATAAAATGTCCAAAACGAAAGCAAAGATTCCAATTAATATTAGTACAAGGAATCATACCACTGATTGCATTGATCGAACAACGGACACATCTATAATATACATGGACAGAATTCTTAGCCAGAGAGAGAGAGAGAGAGAGCTTCATTACTTATATAACACATTAATAAAATACCCTAAAAATGGTCAGAAAAGCCTGTAAGGTGTAAGGGTATCTTGAGGTCCCAATCACAACCCTCTCATGAGAACTCTAAGATGTGTGAGGTTTCCAGTTCATTGCGACACACCCAGAGTTCACATTGTAGCCACGAGTTCAAAAGGCAATGTGGCTCTCCATTAACAATAGGAAGAAAAAAAAAGGAAAAATCACCTCATATATGCAAAGTCGTATGATTCGTATCTATCTCCCTTATATATGCACCATGATGTTTGTTCTGTAGTACCATTTCACATAAGCCCATCATTTGCGTAACAATAACCTATTTGGGAAAACAAATCTAGTAGCATCCCACCACCCTCATAATGCTAAGAGAACTTATAAGTCGTATCACACCAAATAATCAAAGCAAATATGGCAAAAACAACTCAAAAGGAAAATTATGACAGTTCATGCCAATATTTTCAAAGTGACAACACTGAAAATTGTTTATTACAAATGTGCATTATGCAGACCGAAAAACACATAATCTCGCAGAAAAGACTAATGCCCGTTTTCCTCAAGTGAATCATACTTTTTTGAAAGTAACTTCTGTTGATGTCTTGGCTTCCCCTTCAAATTGCACCCGATCATAAAACTCTCTGGAGCTTAATTGGAAAATTTCATGAGCCTTATGATCCATGGAGCCAAGGACCAAAAATCCAACTCGATCTTGAAACTACAATTTTTTTTTTGAAATCTCATCCGATTAAGAATTGGGAAACCCAATCAGGAAATAAGGGCTTTTGATTGCTATTAAAATTGTAAACTTGGCACACAGTGGTATTCTTTCTCTTGATTCCATTTTAGAGAACTCTCTGTAATGTTCATCTTTAGTAGTGCAATTTTATCATTGCGCATTGCACATGTGTATAGGCATTTGAGCTAAACCACACAACCTCGTGTGTTTAGCATTTTGCTATTTGTTTGTGATCTCATTTAAAAAATCCGCGAAATCCCATTCATAATATCCTCCCACAGGCAAGTAGAAGGCATCTTCCAATTATCCTCTCCCTTGGATCAAAAAAAAAATATCCTCTCCCTACTCCTCCCAAGTAACAGCAGTCAGGAGCGACAGAATATGTCCTTCAACCTTATTGCGAGCCAAGCAGTATTCCCAAGTCCAAAGTCAGACATTAATATATACGAATCAGATACAAGTGAACGCACTTACAGAATATAAATATTCAACAGCTCTCTCTGGGTTGTTGTAAGCAGCACGAAGAGCACGAAGAACTGTATCCCTATCCCAGCTTCCTCCCCCCATATCAAGTATCTGCTGGATTATTCCCTCGAGGTTCGTTCCAGCAACCAGATTTGATGCTGCTAGGCCGTAGACATCAGTATCTGACCTGGTTGAACAAACATTAATGGATGTTACTGAAAGAACCAATGCAGCAGTTCTTATAAATAGAATAAATGAATACCACGAGACTTCAACACAAACTTGTCACGTGGTATTAAAAAGAGAGAACACTCACACAGCACCAACTGGAGGCGCTGGAGTTGGAGCTGCAGCTGGAGCAGGTGCAGGAACAGAAGGCGCAGGCCTATGATGAAGAATAAATCAACTTACAGAAAATAACCTTAATCAACAACATAAAATTCACCTGAAAACTTTTAAAAGAACACCAGGGGGTGGGCAGGGCTGGTTGGGTTGCCCAAAAAATAACTCCAACCAAAAGAATAACAATTAAAAATACTCATGCTTACTAATGCCAAGGGAAACTCAAAACTCACGTTGCAGCAGGAGCTGGTGAGGCTGTTGGTGTAGAAGTTGAAGTAGGAATTGGTGAACTAGTCTGTGGAGCCTACATGGCAGACAGAACTGTTAGATGGTATCTCATCAACTACAAAACTTAAAGGTAAGAGAAAACATCAAATTTTGAAAAAAGGGCATTAACCAAAATAATTCAAATCAACTAATGTTGCAAGGACAAAATTCAATACAAACATATGCTCCATATTTAAGCACTAAAGTACTGTGAGGTCAATTCTTTCAATCAGCATGATGTACTCTTCCTCTTTTTTTGAAGTTAAATTTGGAAAACAAGTTACTCCTGCTCATGTAACTGACAAGAAACAATCTACTACCTGAATGTACCACACCAACTAAAGGTGTTAAACCTTAACAGGCCCCTCACAGAGCCCAAGTGGAATACAACTATACAAGGTACCATCACACTTGATGATGCTCGGAAACTAGGAAAAAACTAAATTCATCACCACCAGTGAACCCTCTTCTGCTTTGTGTTTTTAGCTCTGGAAGGGTAAGTGCATGAAATTGGTAGGCCATTTTGAGTAACAAGTTGGGATGAATTTTCTCCATGAGTTTATCTATTATTGAGCTTACAGGCATAATGGTTTATACACAACAGATTGGTGGCCTGTCTTCAGTATAGTTATGTCTTATTCAAAGATGAGAAGTTGAGCACCATGGACAAGAGTGATAATGTCTTGACTGCATGAGTTACGTGAAGGTGTTAGTTTCTAAATGAGGGACATGAAAAGGGTGGCTTTTGTAACGGCCAGTTAATTAACAGTGATTTTGGTGGAGGATTATACTGTGAACGGAGAATGCAAGGGCAACCCTTAGTGGGAGATGCTGATTTGAGTTAATTAACTTGGTCACGTGAAATCTAAATGTGTGACCATAATTAGAGTACCGCATCCTTTTTTTGTCAAGTTTGAGCCCCCTGCCCCTTTTTTTTCAATTCCCCAGGGAAAAAAAACCCAAAAAAAAAAAAAAAAAAAAAAGTAGCTTTTTGTCGAGCCCTGTCCTTCATCTTTGAATGGGCTTCTCACAGTTCAAAACAAGGACACACATATATCTATATATTTGATAAGTAACAACATTAACATAATTTGGATATTACCTTAGTTGTAGGTGCAGTTGATGCAGTTGAGCCTTCACTGGATGAGCTCTTACTCTAGAATTATGCAAATAAAATAAAAATAAGCACCAGCTAAATAGTAAATATCTTAATGACTCCAAAAAATGCTTCAACTGAGAGAAAGATAGCTAAGAAACCATTGTGAAACACTAAAAACACATATTGGTGCAGGTTCATGTGCTTAAGGAACCCTATGCAAAAGAGCAAAATATCCAATCAGACACACTAATGCATGCCTATTCTGTCTACCGGCACTATTGGCATAAGAAATTATTGTCGGACAAAAACCATTTCAATAACATAATATACGTTAAACACAAATAGTTTACATGAGATTAACAATCAATCTTCCTAGACCCCAAATAAAAATAAAAGACCTGGGAGTATACAGCAAACATCAAGATAAACACTAGGCTTGTAAGCCATAAGCATACATGACGACAATGCCCACCTAAAAAATGAAACAATGAGAATACAACCAAATTCAAAAAAGTCTTGTCCCAACATGAGGAATGAGATCAAATTTAGTAAAAGCCAATTCCTTGAAACTTTATAATGGAACAATTCACTTCAGATTCCCAACAACTAAGAAGAACAATTGTTACCTTTGTTAACATGATGACGACAAAACTATTTTCAGCAACTTGGTTTTCTTCCAGTGTCGTTCCATCTTTAAGAACTTTCCCCTGATGGATAAGCATCTGTTTTGCAACAGGATAAACATCTGATCCCTGAACTGTTTCTATATTTTTCTTCACATCAGCAACCTGAAGAATACAGTCATCAGTTTCAAACAATGTTAGTAAAAGTAGTTCAGCAAGCATAATGAAAAGAGCAGGCACAGCACAAATACATCTGCATTTGTCCAGAAAAAAGTAGAAAAATTAACAAACAAAATTACTGGAAATATTGACAAACAGTTCAAGTGACTAGAAACCACAGAAAATCAGCACAATGTTTGAGAATATATGAATATCTGAAAAATATGCAGAGTTGAGTCGTATGAATAGAGATAGCATAAGATCGCCTAGTGTTATCTCAACTGCACCCTTTTTCTAATAATAACAATTCAAGGAGCTTGCCTCTACCTATTCACAACATAAAGGCACAGGAGCTTCCCTCTTATCCTCTAATATTTCACTAGGATGCAGCAGCACTCAATGACAACAGATTTCTTCATATCTGGTAATTCTTGTGCATGTCTCTTATAGTCCTTCCTCCATTAAAACAAGTGCATGGATTTCAGATTCAAGTGAGTCATCTTTAGTGCCCAATTTCCAATAGTCCCACCACTTAAGATATCTGTAAGTACCTCATTTTGTTTAGCTCACTATGTCCTACTCCAGATTTCAATCTCTTTTAGTCCGTCCAGTACTACATTTCATGGACTCGGATGTGAGTGTTGGGTGCACGGTATGCGTCAAAGCATCAGATTCATCTATTCTCCAAGTCCTAGGATAAGAGAATATGTAAGTGTAGTAATAGCATCTCCAACCATGACTTAAATATGAGTCTAAATTTGAGTAAAAAGCTTAATTTGATATAAAACACTCCAATGGACAAAACTCAAATATCTACTCAACTCTTTCAAAAAATTATCATATTGTCCCAAAACTCATTTTTTTAATTTTTTCCATCAAACCATTTTATTCAATATTAAAATTATTTCTTACAAATTTCACTAATATCAACCAAAAGAAAAAGCAAGAATACCAACCTCTTTTGAGTGATATAGAGATAGAGAGTAAAAAGTTACCGTCAAACAATAGAAGTAAGAATAGGTGGTGTGGTCGGCGTGTTACTAGCGGATTTGAAGATAGAGGCAAGAGAGGCAATAACTTGTTCCCGTCAAAGGAGTCTTTTGGGTTTGGATAACATAAAAAGTTATCGTTGAAAATTTGATATAGAATTTGAGTCTTCCTCAATTTGGGTTTAGAATAAATTTTTTTTTGATTTAGTATAAGTTTGGGTCTAAGGTTGGAGAAGTTTTTTGGGTTATTTTGACTCAAATTTAAATTTGAGACAAGATTGAAGATACTCTAACAAACATAAATGGCCAACTGTGTCATTATTGGGCATCAAAAGAGAATGATAGAGGAGCGCCTCAATTTTCATAATTAGGAAGAATTTTCTTAATTGCATGGAGCTTTACATGAAAATGCACAATAATATAACTGAAGCAAATCCACTCTTAAAAGCATCATACTGTACAACAAATAATTAATCAATTCCTTAAGTTGCCTCGTGGAAATTAATAGCGTCAGTAAATCAAATTAAAAAGGTAAAACTACCAATCAATTTTGTAGCAATAACGCACATGAATTCAACATGAACTCCAATCACTTCACTAATTGCTCAAATCACTTCACTAGGAAATTGAACTACCTAATCCAAGTACTTAAGTGGATAAAGACCGCATCAATTTATGAAATTTTTCAGAAAATCCAAACATATAGAACACCAAAATTCACACAAACATGAAGGTATAAATATAGATTTCTGTCCAAGACGACGAATATAACATGACAAAAACCTAAATAATTCTCCAATTCTCAATCGAATTGAGCAAAAAAAAAAAAACAACGAAGAGCACAAAACTTTAGTATATATGAACGAATATACGGAATTGAGGATCTATCAGGGAATCGAAGAGAGAACTAACTGTGTCTTCAGGTTTCACATCGATTTCGAAGTGAGTTCCCTTCAAAGTCTTCACAAAAATCTTCATACTCATCAGTTTCGAAAAAATCCGATCTCCGTCTGTACAACCCCGATTCACCGGAGAATTTTCAGGAGAGAGAAAAGAGGAAGTGTAGAAGAAAGAAGAACTCGAAGGCGCAAGCAAGAATAAGAATCCTCGAACGAAGCTTTTATCGAGGTTCGATCTCTTGCTGTTGTATACTTGTGTATGACTTTTAACTCCTCCCCAAGTCATCCTTGTGTAATAAACGCGACGCGCTTATATGGGATTAAATTCACATACAACATCAATATGCTGCTATAGATGGCGCGTGACAAAAACGTGATGACAAAGTTTTGAGTCTTGGTTTTGGATAGGAGGAAGAGATGAGATTAGAGCGAGCCAGTTTTAATCTCACGGTTAGAACTGCTTTGATTAACGGATCACCGTTTGATTAAATGTTGGCTTTAGTAGATAATAAGGTAAAGGGAGAATTATATCTAAATCCTCTGAAATTTGTCACTTAATCATTTAGACTCTAACATTTAAAAAATTAATGTTTATACTCGTGTAACACTTAGACCCTGCTGTAAATATATTCATTAATAAATTACACTTAAACTCCTTTAAAGTTTGTAAATATATAATACTTAGACCCCTTAAATTTAAAATATTATACTTAAACCAAAAATATTCCAATCAAAAATATAATATCAAATATTTAAAATTTTACAATTAAAATTCATATTCTATTGTATCATTTATTGAAATAAAATTTAAAAAAAATTAATTTTTTCTTAAAAAATTGTAATTAATATACAATTATACTATTTATTGGAATAAAACAAAAAAATTAAAAACAATCAAGTTAAATTCCAATAAACAATATAATTGTATACTAATTACGATTTTTTAAGAAAAATTGAATTTTTATTTTTGATTTTATTTCAAGAAAAGATAAATAGAGCATGAATTTTAATCGTAAAATTTAAAATATTTGATATTTTAACTTTGATTGAAATATGTTTGATCTAACTATAATATTTTTAAACTTAAGGGATCTAAGTATTATATACCTATAAATTTTAAGGGAGTCTAAGTATAATTTATTAATAAATATATTTACAGAGGTCTAAGTGTTACGTGCGTACAAATTTCAGGGAGTTTATGTATAATATTTCAAATATTAGAGGGTCTGAGTGATTAAGTGACAAACTTTAAAGGGTTTAGGTGTAATTCTTCCTAAGATAAATTGAATTAACACCCCTGATATTTAATTTTATTACATAGACACCCCTTAAGTTTTTAAAATTACACTAAGACCCCACAAAATGAACGCCGTTAACGGCACAAACAAAAAGACTATTTTTACCCTCACATTAACTACTCATCAAGATCCAAGACCTAAAACCCAAGATTCAAGACCCAAGACCCAAGCCCCCTCCCTTGAAAAGCTGACCTCTTTAATTCACACACACACACACACACACTCTTTCTCTTTCTCTTTCTCATGACAAATCAAAGCCCCAGCAACCATCTTTCTCTCTCTCTAAAGACGTATCAGACCCCCTTAACAACCGACGCTAACACTAGCAATCGAACCACAATCGCCTATTTCACCAGCACCACCATCGCAGAGATTAGGATTTTATGATCTCTATCTCTCTCTTTTTTATCTCTCTGTGATCGATACCCTAGGTGGTGGAACTGATGGTGATGAGTGGATTTTGTAGGTGTAATTTGCAAGTGGATTTTGAAACCCTAACATCTACGATGTAGTGGTGTTGGTTGATGATAGGTTTGGTTCAGGTGATGGTTTTCACTGGTGGTTTTAATGGGTTGTGGTTTTAGTTTCTCCTCTTTCTCTCTCTGTCTTATGTACTAGTGATGGGTGGGTTTAGGTGGTGGAACCGAGGTGGACCGGTGGTGATGGGTGATAGGAGTGAGAATTAATGTAACTAGATAAATAATAAATAAAAGCAAAATTAATATGGTATAATTGGATAGGCAATTATTCAAATTTAAAAAAAATTGTTTAATTTTTAAATTGTACTAAACATTTCAGTGTTAAATTTTAAATTTTAATTTATATATGAAATATATAGATTAAAAAAAATAAATTAAAGGTTGCATAAATTTATAAGGTAAGAAAAACATTTATTTGAATTCTTAAACTTAATATTAGAGGATATTTTTGGTATTCTAGGAAATATTGTTAATAAAATCAGTTTTGACTATGAATAATTCTAATGTCTATTAGTTAGAAAGGATATGGTTGTCACAAGTATTAAATGTAAAGAGAGTTCAGTGTTATTTTTAAAACGTAAGGAAGTGTTCGTATAATAAAATCAAATGCCAGATGACAATATAATTCACCCTAAATAATATATTGGATGAATCATGAATGTACCAGAGCTGCTATTAATGGGCCCTACTTACTAAAAACTGCATTTTTTGTAGTATATTACCCATTATAGAAAAAAAAAAAAAACAATTCATTAGTAGAAGCATATTCTTTAGGGAGAAGAATACTGTACCCAAAAATAATAATTCGATGTGGTATTTCTACTAATAAGTTTTGTGGCTGTTTTTTATAAAAATTGAGAGTTATTTATAATTTTTTAGGATTATTTATAATTTTGGGGGGTCATTTATAATTTTTGAGTATTATTTATAATTTTTTCTATTCTCACCTAATTTAATTTTTCATTATCAAACTATTAAATCCACTTATTTTATACACACCCCATTAATAATTAAGTTTATCTCATGTTATATACACTTTCTTTAATAAGTAAACCTACTTTATATTTTGTCATAATTAGGATTTCATTCTCTATTTAATCTCATGCACTCACAAATTTAATTTAAATTTTTCTAGTGAGATACAAGTTAGTATTATTTCTCAATTTAATTTTATATTTGATTGCATATTTGTTTTATGAATTTTCATTATTTTCGGTATATTTTGATATATTTGTCAACTTTAGTATATATGAAATGGATGTCAATGAGGCTTTTTATTTTCTTAATAATAATTTAAAATTTACTCAAATTTTATTAACATTTTTTTTGATTGATAATATGACTTTTGATCATAGATATTTATAGGAATATAATTTATTGCTTCATTAATATTTTTATGTTTTTATTTGTTTTGCAGGATCTTTATCGAAATTGTGATATTACGTGATTGATTTTATTATGAATACATTTGTTGTTATCTTTTTTGTTGAATTATTTCACTATTTTTTAATTTTTTTAATGATATTTTACTCGCTTATGTATTATACAACTTTCACCTAAATTTTGTTATATTTTATTTGTTACAAGTAATAACTTTATCAAAAGTTTTTTTTTTTTTATGAGAATGAATTGTTTAGCTGGTCTTTTTTTGTTTAAATGAAAAAAAAAAAGACTTTGAGAGAAGCAAACAATGTGTTTGATATAGTTTTATCTTTGGATTAAAGAGAGATGTTCATTATACTTCTTTTGATTAGAGAAATAGATTAATGATGCCAACATTTTTTTTATTGTTAATTATTTTTTACCTTTAATAAATATAATTGTTTGATGTGGGTTGAACTTTGGGGTCCAAATTGTAAATTAATTTTATTGTATTACTCTTTTAGGAGTTTTTTTTTAATTAGAATACATTGTAGTGAGTTTTAATTTTAGGTTTGTATTACATTATTCACCTCTAAATTTGAGATCTTATTTATATGTGAAACCTAATACTCACGTTTTTTTGTTATGTATAGGGTTGGGCATGTGAGTGAAAGACTCACTTGTATATAACAAATTTTACTTAAATATAACGCATTGTAAATGATTTATTAAAACAAATCAAAGATAAAATGTATTGGAAAGGATCTCCTTCCATTGCCAATAGAACTTGCTACTAATCTAATGCATAATAATACATTGACTTCCTATATAAAGATCCAATTACAATTGCTTATCGAAGAAACACAGCGACTTTAATCTCATTCATGCTTTATCCGGCTGCTTGAATGGACGTAATAGCCATAGGCCCAGTAGTCATCGTGGTCAGCCTATTTCCTTGCTAGTTTTATAAGGTCCTATCTTCAAACTTAACATGCCTACATGTACATCGATTTTTTTTTTATTCCATTAAAGGTAGGTTTTCTATATCGGAATTAGGGTATTTATGAATCATGAGGGATAAATTTTTTATAATCTAACACAAATAAGTTACAAAAATTTAAACTTAAAACGTCTATATTTACAATCTCTATTACCATTTGAACTTCCCCTTAAATTCTCTATTGCCTTTAAGATAGCGTTTCTATCTTTTTGCTTGTATCCTATGAACTAACGAGTACTTTCTAAGCGTTAACCAGATTGAAATTTAGGGAAAGGTTTCGAAACTAAACTAGACATTTTTGATTTATTCGATATACTTGATTTACAAGTAAATTAGGGGTAATTCGTGCCTAGGCACGGTACAATGTAAATGAGATTTGATGGATTTTTTTTTTTTGGGGGGGGGGGAGAGGGAAGGGGAGAGAGATTCAATGTAACTGGTTTGAGAGGGATGTTAGTGGCTATTAGATAAATTTATTTGAGATCATCGAATAAATTTATTGAAGTTTATTTTATTTAATATTATAGATACATGTACCTTGAATTTACATTATTGTTGTGGGTTAAAATATGAAGAAGAGAGCTTACCAACTAAGCTAATTGATGCTTCTCTTCTACCATAGCGTCATACCATCGACATATTGAAAAGCATGCACTTTACTTCATAGTGGACCGGGAATACCGACAAAAATCAAAATTTCTATAATCAATTTTAGGTTTTTTTTTTTTGGGTTTCTCCAAAATTCGAATAATTTATAATAATATTTCTTCATCGACCTCATACTATGAAACTTTTGATTATATTCTCTTACCTAAGGCAATTAATCAGTGAATTCAAACGACTATAAGACTATTGAGACCAAAGACACGATTTATGGTCGGTTTGGTAGGACAGATAAAAAAATAAAAGGATAAAAAATAGAATTCTTCATTCTTTTTTTGTATTTGTTAAGAGCGATAAAAAATAGGAAGAGTTGAATTTTTTTGTATTTGATAAGATGAAAAAAAAAATTATCTTTATTTTTTTTGTTTGAAAAAAGATAAATACATATTTTACCATTATATCTATATATGAAATTAATATATACATAATATGTAATTGATAAATATTATATATGTATATATCAAATAATATATAGACAAATAAC